CATTTTGACAGGGAGACACGAGGTCGTACTAGTAGAATTTATCATTGGTTTATCAAAGTCGCTAGCTTTGTTTATGACTTAACATGTAATCAGTTTGATATCATTTGCTTAATGCATTGTTTTCTAGTGTCAGTGTGTGAAGAAGGATGTTGATTTAGTGTTCCTGGTCCTCAATTGCATAATCCTTGATAAGGCATCGCCAAATCTTATGCAGAGTTTTTTTGCAGACCAAGACATTCGAAATCATAGTGCATGTTTGATCCTAATTGGAAAAATAATCTGTTTTTACCAATAATTCATTTGTTCTTGACGTCATGTTGGTTAATTTTAATGTTTGAATAATTGATTTCGTGGAGAGACATGTGTTGTATATGCCCCGTCACAGCGATGAGTGCACAAATTGCATCCTTGTGCTGAACTCATCACAGCAACCACCAGTTGCATTCGTTTAGCACGAGATACTTGTCCTGGGCAACAGCAATACAGTTAAATTCTCCTGTTAACGCCTTCTGATTCCTAGTATTAAGATAATAAAATTTAATCTTATCTTGGTAAATCATTTCCGTTCTTCTTACTGGGGTTAAATGCAGAAACTAATTCCATTTTTGCGATCGGCAAATCGGACAATGTATTTACTCTTGCTGACATTGTCACAAATTTTCAAATCTACTCTCAAGATAATTAGATCGGTTAAACTATTTTTAATTTTAAATCTCAAGGATTTTTAGGAATCGCCACATGTGTTGTTTATGTAGGACGAATATTAGCCTCCATTTGTTTTAGGAGCCAGTCTAACTACAAGTTGTAATGATTTAAACTTGGGTTAACCATAATAGACAACGACAAAGAAGTCGAATGACCTTATTCTCGCTTGTTAAAGCCTTCACTGAGAACGTGAGCAAATTGATGCTTCTCCTGATAAGCCACCTCACTGTACACTCACTAACTCTGATTACTTGAAACCAGAATTTACTGCTTTGTTGATAATCTGGTCGCTTTTGGCACGGACAATTTTGGCGTCAATAAAAAAGCAGATTTAGATGGAAGCCACAGTTTTGGCAAGTCAATCATATTCTTACAAACCGCAGCATTCAAGCAGAAATTTGTTGCTGGTCCGGGTCACTTCGTCAGGGTGGACGAGGCACAACCGTTTGCTGAACACCTTAACCAAGTTGTGTTGTCGTTTGTGTGTATTAAATGCAGCGCGTGACTCACGTGTTTTGTTGGCTGATACTGTGGGGTGACCAGCTAAAATGCTGACGTCTGATGGTCACATCGATGTAGCGGGTGCTGGTGATGGTACATGCAGGGGGGTGGATGAGCAGGTGGTCCCTTGTGACCGATGAGCAAGCTGTGAAAGATGTCGCGTATGTGTGAGACTGTAACAACCGGGTTATTGGACGTGAATCAACGCGATTCACAACAAACAAAGGAATAGGGAGCAAAAATACCTATAGGTACGAATTTGGTATTCAGATTGAAACATGGAGTTAAAACTTTTTTTGTGCCTCATACCACAAGCGTCAACTTAATAAACGTTTAATTGAGCAACAGTGAATGTGTTGCATTTTTATATTGCGATCTTCGTATTAATTTGTGATGACTAAATTCGTCTAAGCAAAGACAATAGCCTTCCAAATCGTTTTCGTCTTCTAGATAGTTTTTATGTTCATTTAAAGTTGAAAAAATTTTGATTCTAGAATAAATACTTTCCGCTGGCAATAAGAGCCCTTTCTTTATGATCAACTAGTTTGAAGCACACAAATATGGCGAGTGCGTTGGTGTTCATTCTATTCAGGAATCAAACTTCGTGCAGTCGAAGTGCTTTCATTACAATACAACAGCAAAATCAAATTGAATAAGGGTGGAAAAAAATTCTACAACTCCGAATTTCAATTGAACAATAGCGCTTTAAGCTAGTTTAAAATCACTGCCACCTGCGACCACGGCAACTCCATAAAATCACATATTTTTGCAAGCACTTTGTAAAACACACATCTGCATCGTGATTACGCACACTCATGACGTATTTTAAATTGAGAAAGCATTAGTAACTCATGAGGCTGTCTCTGTGTGCACTTGCTTTTGAATTGCATCAAACTAGCCTTCGGAAATTTCCCTTTAGTAATGGAGGCCAATTTTCCAGTAGCATTTGCATGATCGTGTGTAAATGGCTTATTTTGTTAATCGTTGACTAATCCCCTCTTCATATGCTGATCAAATGCACGATACGAGCATGAGACGAGTTTTCATTTGCTGGGTCTGACAAGCGCGACCTTTAACTGTTCAAGGATGATATGAAAACGGTGTTTAAAATCAGGCTACTCAAGGTCAGCGCAGGGACGTAGTAATTGCGCAATGTTTTCGAAACATCAAATGAAGTAGCTACCTGGTCACCCCTTGGTGATTACAGATCTGAGTTTTGGCCTACTGAAGATGTACCTTTTATAAACTGATAATTCACCAAATGGTGGTAACAGTTCCGTGATTTGATCTGAGCGTGGGACAGCTTACAACTTAGACTTATCCTAACTAAGACTTCCCTTTATTGACTTGTAGCATTTTTATAGAAACCAACTGTTCTATTGATCCTCGAAGCTTATTCATGCCAATGCTGATTTGACTGATTGCAGTGGTGCATTTCAACAATACATTAATCGCATTCTCCCTGTGCTACAGTGGTATTTGTTTATTTAATTTTATCGTAGCATCCTCCTGTCTTGCACCTGATTAAATTCGTCTTCGAGAATTTCGCGTGCCAAGGGTGTGAGCATTGGTGTCTGCCCAAATCCTTGGCGAGGAAACGGAACTAAACACCATAAACGATTATCGCGAAGTAAGCGCTTAGCTCTCAGTTCTAGGCAATTCATCTTGCTTAGTGTTGTAAGAGAAAAGTAAATTATCTTTTTCTCAAATTAAACGCGACATTCGGTGGGGCGGAAAATTATTTGAGTTTGTACAGAATTACACGAGAATGCTTTGTGCATGCTATAGTTAAAGTTGGCCTGTTAACATGTCACGCATACATGAGGAGGAATAGCCAACTCCGGAATTGAGTGTCATCCCACTTATTGAAGGTCTTGAACTGCGTTTGTCACTGTAAGATTAGCGTTCTCATTTCATGCTTGGTAACATTTTTTTCTGCTGATACTCGTGCCGAATCGTATCGTTTGCGATTTGCCTTTTGAACTGGTTTCAAAAACATGTCCTTAAATGACTGTCCACGTCGATAGCACTGACTTGGCATTAATTTTGCTTTTTTTATTATTTAGAAATGTTCAAAATCACCAAACATACTTATGTAAATTGGTGTCCGTGTCATGAAAGTGCAAGACGTTTTTAAGGTGACATTTTACGTAGATATTTTGACATAAACGTGTCAAAGTTGCCTATTCCCATCTTAAATTTTAGACATCTGTCCACGCATTTCTGTTCGTTTTTTAACCATGTAAGTATGATACTAGTTTACAAATACTTTGGTTAATAAGCGAGACTTTTAGCCGTACACTTGTGACATGAAAATAGGGTGGGAAATCAGGCGACTCCAGGCTGGTGCAAGGACCGTGGCATATCGCGTTGTCCTCGAATCAACGCTTAAGGCAATAATCCAGTCGCTAGTGTGTGATTGCAGATCTCTGCTTAGGTTTGCGTACATAGCGGATTGCAGATTTGATTTAGGATAACCAAGGCTGCAACAAGACCAACCTCATCTGCTCTGTGCAGCGATTTCGGATGTTTTTTTGCCTCCGTCGTTACTGCCTTCAAATTGGCAAATGAGGAGCACTTCGTGTTAATGATCTATGTCTTGGTTTCGGTTGAAATTACTAGAATTGCTAATGAATCTTTATCAGTAGGTAGTCACGCAAGAAAAAGGAATCATTCATGATCACCTGGCAACAGGAAGTCAAAAGACGAAATGAATGTTTAACTAGCAATTTCATGTAGCTCATGGTGCTTATCGCAGCTGAAGAGTAAAATAAGGCTCACTCTTAAACAGAATGACATAAACAGTTGGGCGACTGGTCGCCTGGATCCGAATCAACAAAGTGCTGTGAGGACGATTTCTAAGAGGCAATAATCATTGTTGGCCGGTAAACATTCGTACCTCTGTGACATTTACACAGTCAATTCACCATTGTTTACATTTTGTTGATAATATTTTCGTGCTCAATCGTATTGATTCCGTAATAGTGGAAAGCGATGTCTCTAAAATTTTGAGTATTATCTCAAAGGCGGTAAGTCCCTCAACAACCACGATACCAAAACTCATATCATGCCTTTTTGACTAACCATATTCCAGCCTTGATATAATTAGACTATTGTATTAAACCTTCAATCAGACATTTAAAAGAGCTTATTTCAGTGTGACCACGGACAGGGTGACACTGCTGGTTTTTTTTACAATTTGTCTCGAATTACATTGACTTTTTATGCTGAAATGACAAGCATAAATGCGACTCCTTTTATGCTCCAAAAACATATATATGTGCACATATTTTTGTGCTTTGTTACAACATCCTCCAAGGATCAGGGGTCAACGACCTTAACAAGGCTAGGGTTTTGAGTTAGAAAAAAAAAACATTTTTTTCAATAAACATGTATACAAAAATTGCTTTTCATTTAATGCTTGGTTATGCATTAGAAAACCTAAGGAACTGGTATAAGTGCAGACATTTTGTTAGTGAGTTTTGCGAAGCATGATGTAAGCACTAGCAGCAGCTTAAACATCTAATTATCTCTAAGAAACCTTCATTTTTTATTAGCGGGACTATCTTTCAAAGTCAATTTAGCACACTGTCAGTACAGGTAATCTGGACAAATGCGACGGCTGATTAAAAGCTAGAGAAATTATGGATGTGGTCATGACAAAACGGTGTTCTTATTAAATTGCTTGAGACCATAATTTACAGTACAACTGCAAAAACATTTAGGTTTAATAAAGTGCATAGTAAAAGCGTGGTCTGCTATGCTTTGCACAATTTGTGACTTGAGTAATTAATTCACATGTTCCACTTGATTTTCTGCAATTCCGAGTTGATCAGTCCTTGGAGTATTGGTTTGACCAAACTGCTATATTTTAGGAAAATTGAAGCAGCAATGGAGAAAAAGGAAGATCCTTCAACACTGATATTTGTCCAAAGGGGAATTGATAGGTTAAGCCGCGGTGCTGGTTTCAGGGACTTTGTAATTTGCAGAGAAACCTTCAAACTTGCCAGGCCAATAGACACTGTGAGAGACTAAAGGCATAGAACGTGAACAGACTCTTTCAAGGTTAATCGTGAAAATTGGTGTTGGATGCAGAAATTTTAAACTAACGTAATTGTTAAATACTCAATTTGACTTAAAGCCGAGATTGGCAAGATGATTAAGAGCAATAAAAAAACCGATTTCTAAACAATAACTGACTGGTTATTTGCAAATAAATTCAGCAGGAACTATTGTGTAGCGAATTTTAAATTAGCAAAACGCTCTGTCAACAAAACCGCAGATTTCCACATTAATGTCGTTTTTGAACAAAAACTGCGAGAGAGTTTAATGGGCTGCAATTTTACTAAAATGCACGATAAACATGACGAGTAAAAAGGTACTGAAAACACCAGTTCTAAAGTAAGTACCAAACAATTTATGGAAATAGACTAATACCAACACGTATCTTACTAGTTTCAGCGGTTTTAACACAGCATTTTGACCTGCAATATGGCGTCGGGTTTGACAGAGGGGGCTCATTAAATTATGCTCTGATCAGTAACCTACACTATCTTCCAGTGTAATAAGAGCACCAGTAACATTCAAGCAGGCACTGAAGACAAACGTCGATGGTCCTTTAGTGACGGTTTCGTTGAGTGTCGTTGGACAAGCTCGACTCAGATTGCCGGTTTGAATTATCCGAATCTTCCCAAGGCTCCCGGCTTTAGGAATAGTCCAATTTGCTAATTCGACAGGAAGCGAGTGAAGAATGCTGTCCATTATGGAATCGGCAGTTGAACCTTGCAGGTTGTAGATGCAAGTTAAGGACGACAAAAATGGCATGCTGTGGCAGTGGATGAAGCCTGGCAGAATAACGACTGTTAAGAAAACGTTGTATTTGAAATGAACATTCATTCCTCCTTGCGAGTGGTTAGACTATCGACTGATGACCAGCACAATCCACACTTCAGCAGGGACCTTTTGTTATTGTTATTTAACAGATGTCTGTGATTTGGTACACAAGTGTAATTTGCACCACCAGATAATTCTATTGGTGGAAAAATGATCCACGCAACCTGGTGTAAATCGACCTTCACTCCCGATTTAACACTTAAGAAGGTTTTTCATTTCCAAATAGCCGTTTTCCTATCATCATGAGCCTTATGCTATATCACCTATCAGCTACATAAGAATGTAATCCCACGAACCAGGGTCACACAAGTTTATCGCTCAAAAATACTTTGGGCCTTTAGTGTGAAAACTTTGAGAATTAACAGCTAAGAAATGCAGCCTTTTTATTACTGGCATTTGATAGCACTCTTGCATTTTAATTTCATTTTCAAGGACCGAATATTCGTCATCTTCCCCGTAATCATGCCTATACTAAATGACAAACTCGATGTCACACAGCGTCACGCATATGGACAATGACCCATATCCTCTTAGGCTCCCTCACGGAATAGCTTTACACGAATTAATATCTCCATGGCAATTTCAATAATTCTGGCTCCCTTTTTTAAGTTCTTTTAAGAGCTTTGCCAGAGCAGCCACTCTGTGGCCTGACAAATGCTTAATAGGTGCGAACGTTTTCCAGGTCACAATTTTTTCAACCTCCAAATATCTCGAAAGCTGGACGACCAATAATAAGGGACAAGGCTATTTCACAGACTCTATTTTTATTCGTTAAGCCAAACTGCAATTTAGTTAGACCCAAAAATTTGCATTGGTGTAGTCGTCTGCAGTTTTATATTTGGATCCAAAGTACCCAGTTAAGAATAACCTGACAGTATGCCTTCCTGAGTTGTGCAGAAATATGTTGGTGGACAAAAAAGTGACAATGTCATCGGTTTCAGGAGAGGTCAATAGACTGTATTCTAGTTTTTCTACTATCTCAGTCATGCAACATATCCAGTCACGAGAAAGCGGCTCATTTTAATGTCCATGACACTCACGTCTGCGTAATGAAACGACACTGCCAAACCAAATTGTGAGCAGTTATCATTTAACACTTCGTGTACAGTGACAAGAAAGATATGTGCACAAAGGGCGCTAGAATTTCCAGACGCAAGAATACATCTTAGCCAGAAATTGATTAAAATGCATCCTGCTTATTAGTTTTTTTTTATAGCTCTTATAGCCCTCAACGCCAAGCACATGGACAATAACCTGCATCTTCTGAGGCTTCCGCTCGAAATAGCCTTTTTTTAGGAATTAATGTCTCCATGACGATTTCAAAAACTCTGCAAGAGGAGCCACTTTGTGGCCTGACAAATCCTGAATAGGTGAAAATGTTTCCCAGGTCATGATTTCGTCAACTTCCGAGAATCTCGAAAGCTGGACGGTCAATCAGAAGAGACAAGGCTGTGTCACCAATTTCATTTTTATCCTTTAAGCAGGATTAGTATTTACTAGAACCTTTACCTTGGCTTTGGTGTAATTGCCTGTAGTGGTATATTTCAATTCAAAATACCCAGCGAAGAGTAACGAGACAGTACACATTCCCGAGTTGTGCAGAAATATGTTGGTTCACAGAAGAAAGACAATGCCATCGGTTGCAAGAGAGGTCAATCGCCTGTGGATATGATTGACTGCATACTAATGTTTCTGCTATCTCAGTCATTTAACATATGAAGTCTCGGAAAAGCGATTCATGGTAATGTCCACGAAACTCATGCCCACTTAGTGAAACGACACCGCCAAGCCAAATTATGAGTGGAAATCATTTAACACTTCATTCACACCGTCAAGGAAGATGTCAACACAAGGACGCAAGAATGCATCTTAGCTAGGAATCGATCAAAATGACATCTCACGCACGTAGTGGTTTAGAAATCAAAGTGCTGTGATTGAATGGCAGTTAAACAAACGCGGCAATTCTTTTGCCGTAGTGTGGAGAGACACTATGGATGTAGGCAATGTCAATCAGGTTGAGTGATTTGATTGATAAAGCTATCTATTAAGGGGCAGTAAGCATGCACGGGACTGTCTCGATGGCGAAAAGAATTAGTGCCAATGCTTTAAAGTTTACTCAGACACTCTATTCAGCCTAAATAGGGGCCATTTAAGACGACTATCAGTGACGAGGTCACAATTTTCATGCCTCTCAATGAACGATCAAACCATATCGAACAAATTGCAACCCAGAGAGACTAAGTCGTCAGTAAAATTAGTCAACCCATCCACTGAGCTGATTTATTTCAGGTGTGATGGAAAAGTTACGTTTAGTGAAGGCTTCAAGCTTACGTGGTGTGGCTCAAATACATCACGTACTGCTTAAAAGACCATAACTTACGAAAGATGGCAATCATTGCCTGCGGGTTTAATTACGTTTTGATGACAAAAGAGTAGGACAGAAAATACTGTTTCTATTTAAACAAGACGTTTTTGTAACTCAGACACATGCAATTATAGCCAGATACAATTATCATGCACCAACACACCGTTTAAGTGAACTGTCATTGAAAAAAATGCTCCATATTAGATTTTTTAACATTTAGCATGACGGTGGAAGAATTGGCGCTGTGAATTTGTGTCAGATCCTGTCTTGTTCACCTTTCTTTACGTGCTTGCCTCAAATTAACTACCATGAGGGATTTAATGGTCACTGTGCAAGTCAATTTGATGCTTGATATGTGTCATGTGGTCAAGCGTTGTTCACTACTGATTCACTCTTCATTCAAGCAAATGCGTGGTGACTGGAAGCAAGGTCGGGCATTTTGCGAGAAATTGTTAGAGGTGACACTGTAGGTGCTCAATGGAAGGAGCCACAAAAATAAATATCACGTGACAAATCATGTCTCGAAAGTCCCTGAATTTGAGGCAATGTGCTTGAATAGGATTAAACAGGTTTTTAACAGGTTGATAAGACCGCTTAAGTCATCAGATTTTGGGACCTCTATTCCAGTTAACTGGTAATATTTAATCACTTGACAAATGCGCAGACGCAAATCTTTCTAAATTTACGCTCCTTTAGAATGCTAGGCAATTCGCAAATTTTCCGGACACACACTCAGTTGGTGTGAGCCTGCCTTGCCAGAAGTTAGCAGGCGATGTGTCTGTTTTAGGGATACAAGTCCGCGAATAGTCAGTGGCATCCTCTACTTGCAATGCATCTGTTTCGTCAATTTTCCTTTGCTCGAAATAACGATTCGCACAAGGCATCCAGCATACATTTAGTCAGGATGGACTTAGTGCTGACTAATTGAACTATTTTGGCAATTTTAAGCGTTTGACAAACGGTCTTGCTACAATTTGGTTGCATTTTAAAGAAGGAAATTTTCTTAAATTGCCATCGCCAGCCTGAAATTAATAAAATCACGGACCTTTATTTAAAGCCATGTGTAGCCAGAAAAGCTGATCATTTAACCCGTCCACAAAATCAGTTCGTGATTGTGGCAAAAGTGAGATTGGAGTCCCAGTCTGAGTGCAGTTCACGGAACTCAAAACTAGCCCGTTACCAACAGAGTGTTTATCGAAACGGTGAAAAACATGTTGGTTCTTTGATAACGCCTATTTGGGCTTCAAAACTCAAGTGCCTATTCATAGCAAAATGCAGGGTTTGATGTCACTGGCAATATCAATCGTTTCACTCGACCTAACTAACACTGCCTTCTTCTGGGAAAAATCAGTCGATAAGCACAACTATCGAACACGGTACTTCAATTCCCAAACAGTCATGAGCGTTCCTTTGGTCATTTTAGGAAAGCGTTGCGCCTAATTTGTATCCATGAATTTGCGAGTGCTTGTGTTTAATTGGATATTACATTTTCAAGGCTATGTGAACAGAACCTAGGGATATCTCATTGAAGCACTAGTTATTTACTCCAGTAAAAGGAGTGTCGATTTGTGTTGATACCGTAATAACAGCATAAGCCTTGGCGGTCAAGCTGGCTCAACTATCATTCCATCCTCAAATCAAGTCAAACAGCTCTGAATAAACCTTCATTGGACTGTTGGTGGAATCAGAAATTTCAGTGTCAACTCGCATGCGCCGTTTGTAGGATATGCTTGAAATGGGCTTGCAAGGTAACGCAGAAAAAATTGCTTTGCGAACAAATGTGGAATTTCTAAGTAACAATCGTCAACATTTGGTAACAAGAAGGCAACCCAATCAGCCCATCATCAATCCATGACAAAAAGGTGCAGAAAATGTGAATGCTCACTGGCCTGCTTTATTTATTTACTCAAAATTTGCTTTGAAAAACAAGCAGTAATGTTCAGATCATCCATAAAAAGTGTGGAAGAACTAAGAGGCAGAAGTTCAAGAGTGTTTGCAGCAATTCAGCCTTTGGTCAAATTGCGTCCCATTTGATTTTCTGTAGGGCAGAGTTAATTGCACCTTGTAGTATTAACTTAACAGTAGACTTGCTCGTAAAAATGAAGGAAACGAAGGTAGCTGCTAAGAAACTTCCGTCGACTCTGGTGCCTTTCCAAACGGGAATTGAAATCGTGACTTTGGGTGTGGGTTTCACGGATTTCGTGATTTGAAAAGAAACGTCAAATTTGCCCTGGCCAACTTTTGCAGTAAGTGACTAAAATAATCATTAAAAAACATCGTATTTCAACCAATCTACATAAAAGTGTTTTTTGAGAAATTTATAATCAAAGTATCTATCATTTTATCTACTGCTTAAATCGTTTTTAAAATATCACAATGAATTGTAACTCAAGGGTTTTTTAGAAATATTACATTTTGATTTTGCACTCTTAATCCGTCGATCAATCGCTTTCGGCCATTTAAGAAAAACAATGAATAATTATGACTAGATAAATTACCGTGATACACGTGGCTGTGTGAGCAAAAGTTAAATTATTCAGAAAATGCTAGAAGCTTACTTTGTCTGTCAATTTTATGACAACATCAGTCACGTTTACGCAGGCACTGAAAAGGAACGTTGAGACTCCCTTATCCACAGTCTCGATTGTCGTCAGTGGGCAGGATCGACTCACATTTCCGATTTTGATGATCTGGACGGTGCCAAGCTTGTCGACATTCGGAAACGTAAGGTTTGTTAAATCGGACGACAGCGGCTCGAGGATACTGTCAATGATTGATGTAGGGGTGGAACCTTGAATTAACAACAAACAAATTTAAATATTACGGAAGAGACATACTGTAGGCACGGATGAAGCTGGGCAGATGGCAGATCAGAACGAACGTGGCACACATGTGATGAAGATACATGTTTGCAGGGGACTGCTACGGATGCTAATGTGTCTCCTAACATTAAATTTAAGTGCGGAAGTTTTGCCGGCTCAGTGATCAACAGATCGACAGACAGGAGGATCATCGCATCAGCAAATGTTTCATTGGTTTATTGCAGTCTCAAAGTGGTTGATGCTTGGCTAGCTCAAGGCATGATGTCACAGATGCGAAAGTTGTTTTTGTGTTTTTCCTGATGATTTGTTTTTGCGAACCGATGAGTGGGGCTCATGTGGGTTGTAGTCCTCCTAGTTGGTGGTGAGGAGTTAAACTTAGATTTGTAGGATGTCGAGTTCTGCAGATAAGTAGTATTGGGATATTTTAATTTAGCAAACGTTATTCTTGGAACTTGAGCAGCCACGAGATGTTCTGTTAATGTAGGACTAAAAGATGACTGAATAAATTCCTCCCATTCATGACGTTGATTGGTTGACATACTAGGTGTATTAAATCACACTGGATAATTATCAGAGATGACGGCAAAAAGGCAAAATCATCTTATGTTTCTTGAGTAGAGAATGAAAGTGACTTGTATCCTGGCAAATCATAAATTTTGATTGTTTGCAAAAACCACCCACTTTTCCATTCACATCAAAATGAGATAATACAAATGATAACACAATTCAAGTGACAGAGAAAGGCAGAGATAACAGGTAGCTCCTGCGAATATTAAGTGAGCGCTTACATTTCCACGTGACACAGTTTGTACAAAATTGCCTTTACTCTGCTTCAGATGCAAATTTACTGCTGCTGAATGCATTTCAGGACAATGTATTACATAATTGAAGCATAAGCTTTTAAATATTCCAAAATCGGACCAACTATTCAATTTAAAAAATTGAGCCAACAATATCTTGACTTTGCTAACTAAGTACCTAAATTTCTACAGTTTGCATGAAGAACGACCACTCGATTGCATTTTAGAAATCATGATCCTCTAGATATAATTTTGCCAATCTCGATTTATCATATCGTCAAACAAAAAAATTAAATAGTAAAGGTCTAAGGTACCAGTATAGGCTTTTTTTCAGTTTGATCATTTTCATTGCCGAGTTGATAGTTGTTCGGAAAATTAATGAGGCAACGCCAGAGCGTTTTACGAATCCTCAAACCTAAAGGGAGAATGGTATTTCAGCAATGGTGTTTTCACCCTTAGTATTTGGTCCACATATCACCAGGGCAGTCCGCTCTCTTGTAACTCATCTTTATTGATTTACTGTCCTTTTTTTATCCGCAGTCGAACTAACATAAGTAAATACAAGTCTAGTCAGTGGATATTTTCAGTTGCAGATAATTCCTGTGCTCATTTGGTCATCGTAAATCTACCCTTTGCGTATTGACCTGAGCTAAGCTTGACTTAGCTCTGGCAACTATTCCTACTGTTTTGGACTATTATCCGGATTTAGAGCGTTTGGATTTACACCCACCCATTCTGTTCATCCATTTCTGGTGTTCTTGTGAGTTCAATGATCAGCAAACCCGACCTGACATTTCGTTAACAGCTGAAGACAGGCAATGGATATGCCAAAAAATGTCTGCAGGAGTGTTTCTGAATACGAAAATAGCGCTTTCGCTGAACGTGTCCTCATTTTCCACATAATAGCCATCCTACTCTCTCCCTCCCACTCTCACACTCCAGACACTTCTGCTACGTATGAATATTAAGTGCTCAATCCACAAAATACTACAAAAAATACAGTCTGTACAAAAGCGTTTAGTTTCAAAATGGTAGAAACACGCGGCGGGAACTAAAGGTACTGGCATTGGTCAAATAAAAAGTTTTTCAAGTTTAATCTTTTGCAGTGCTGAGTTGACCGCCGTTCGGAGCATGAATGATACAAGACCAGAGTTCTTTAGAAGTCCAGAAAATAAACCGAGGAACCAGTTGTTGATTTTAACATTTATGTCCTTCCAAACAGGAATCGAGATGCTGGCTTTTGCAGTTGGTTGCACTGATTTCGTAATTATCAGTGTGACGTCGAATTTTGCCCGGCCAATTGAAGCGGTGATGGACTAAAAGAAGCGGAGTGAATTCATGTTGTGCAGAAATTACTTAAAACGAATACTTCTGCATCCAAAGTGTTAAGTACGTCGTCAAATTTTAGCGCTCTAAGGATTGGTATGTTTCAATATTTTATTATTTTATTTAGTCATGATTAAATGACCCAAACATGTCCCTCATACCTATTCCTTAATAAACTACAGAATGAACGACTAGGCGTGTGACTTTGTTATGAAGAAACAACTTGGGATATCGCATTTTACTTTGATCAGACTTTAGTGGAATGCAAAATTGGTGGAGGTTTTCTTAGAAACGAAGTTACCTTAAGTCTGGAGCAAAGCATCCACACCGTGGTTTACTCAGGCAACTATAGGATATTTCAGCTAGAAAAATTGTGCAATTTACTTGCCTTTTGCAATTGCCTTGCCTTCTGTTAGTTAGTTAGTTGTACAATCACTTGGTGAAAGATTTTATCCACTTCGTGTGACGTAAGCTGGTGAATGAAGCTGATTTACAATTTGACCAGGTATGCTTCGTCTAGCCTGATTTGTTTTCCACGTAACCTCAGATACTACCGCTGACTTGGTTAAGATTTTTAGTTTCAGATCTGCATCCCTGAGCCTGATTTTAATACATCCACGTAGAATGTCTACCTGGTTTTAGTAATTATTCTTCATTCTATTGGACAACGTGTTCATGTTCGGTTTTGGCGTGTGTTTGCATAAGAGGTTGGTAGGTGTGCTCAAGAATTACGTGTCACTCGAAAATCTTGTTGCGATATTGGCAGTTGAACTAAATTGTTCGAAGTTTCCTAATCGGATTAACCCACCTATTGACATGCAACTGGATCGAGAATGCTCAGTTTGCACATTGCCATGCTGTCTCACAAGTCTAATGTGACCTGATTCGAAATGTAGCCATTTTCGAGCTAGCAATGGGAAGCAGGCAGAAGGGGTGTGCATGCATTTCGTGCTCAAATATTGTCATCCGATGATTTGGTCATTTCAATATCCATCTATTTGCGTTTATTAATTAGGACCTAAGTGTTTTTACCAAAGCTTACCTTGTCTGGCAAGTTGATGGCAGCACCAGTCACATTGAGACAGGTGCTGACGATAAGCGAAGGGTTTCCCTTGGTCAACGTCTCGTTTATCGTCGTTGGACATGCACGACTCAGATGGCCGACGTCGATGATTTTGATTTTGCCAAGATTGGGCACATCCGGGATCGTGAAATTCTTCAAGTCGGCAGGAAACGACTCAAGAATGCTGTCGACGATTGAGTCGGCGTTGGAACCTTAAGGCGTGACGATGTAAGAAGATGTAAGAGGTCTACCGTGGCAGTGAGTGCAGCCGGGTAGAAGTGCGACTAGCACAAAAATGGAGAATTCGCGTTCAAAATGCATACGTGCGTGCTACTGTTTCACCGAGTTTCGTGAATTTGTTCGAGGTCATCAGAACTTGGTCTTTTAATTCGTGGTGAAACAGAATGCTTACTATTTGACGCTTGGGTGAGGAGGCGTACGTATTATCACCGAGCATTCTCATTGGCCTTTTGTAGTCCAATACCTCGTAGTACAACGCTGAAAAGAACTTTTATTGTCATAGAATTATGTAGTTTTCAATTAAATTTTCATAAATTTATTTTTGCAGTTAGGCGTGTGTGAACGTGTGGGTTTGTGCGTGTGTATGCACTTTCAATCACGCCCGTTTGGTTTGATTTTGACTCTGTCATTGTACATTGCATTTAAAACTGGGTTTCTTTACCTTGCTATCCGTCACAGTATTTAGTTGATCAGTAATCTGAAAGAATGTGCTTTTAGACCTAATCACTCACAAATATTCCCTTGATAAATATGTTGTGTTCTTGCTGTAAACCAATGTTCTGAGTCTCCACATTTGACAGGATACAAAACTTTTGTTCTGAATAATGAAAAGCCTGTGTTTATTTAGGTAAGTGGATTAACAATCCAGTTATAGCTAGTTGTGCTTTTGACATGGCTGTAATGGGATGCACATTTCAGTTGAGAACCAAGCAAGTTTGTTCAAATTCATGTTGGATGCACAACGGTCAATTCAAGGTTTGTGATTTCGTACAAGCACTCTCACAAAATTTGGAAACGGTCTGCATGTTCGGGTTAGCAGTGGTAGTGGTCTTACAGCAAGAACTGGCGCTCACTACTCCACCTGCAAACGCAACACCTTCGTCATCATCTTGGCATTGTAAAACAGTTAAAACGTTACGTTCTAAGTAATGAGTCAACGCTGCCTTGTCCTATCACTCTCTTACGACTAATACAAATGAATAGCACAGATATTTACTGAAACATAAAGACATATTTTCATGTGCAGTAGCTGATGAGCGTGACCTCTAGCCGCTCCTCGCCACGTAAAAATGGTGCTTGAAATCAGGCGACTCAAGGTCAACACAACGACCTTGGCATTTCGAGTTGTTTTCGAAACAACGCATGAAGCATCAACCCTATACTAGTTAGCAATTAAGCATACATGCTCGGAGTGTGAGCGTGTGACAGCTTACAGATCAAACTTGTCTTGACTGAAGCTGTGCTTATTTTCCACGCGGTTTGCGGTCGGTCTTTAAATATGTCTCGGCTTTTCGATAAATTTCTTTTTTGAATGAGCCTCGAAGGCTGATGCAGTTACGTGAACGTAAAGTGCTGGCTAATAATAATTATAGCCTTTTAGAAATTGTCCTTACAATATTTTGTTGAGTCGAATCCAGGTGGTCAGTCATCCAACTGTATGACTCTTTTTATTTTAGTTAAAGACGACAAAAACGACAGACTGCATGGTAGATGAAACAGTGTGGAATAATGGCTGTCAAGAAAATGGTGCATTTGCAGTGAAGACTCATGCCTCTTCGTGAGTGCTTGGACTACCGACGGGTAGCCACCACAATCCATGGCTTAAACACGATCCCTTTATTATTATTATTGTTTTTACTATTTAAAAAGTGCCATTGATTTGGTACACATGCCTAATTTGCACCACCTGATTATTCCATTGGTCGAATGATAATCCGCTGAACCCGGTGTAAATCAACCTTCACTCTCGACATAGCTTTTTAAAGGATTGTTTTTCACTTTAAAACACCTGTTTTTCTGCCACCATTTGCGTTGTGCTATGCCACCTATCAGCTACAAGGTCACACAAGTTTATTGCCATAAAATACTTTGAAGCTTTAGTGTGAAAAGCTTTCGAATTAGGAGCTAAGAAGTGCAGCCTGCTTATTACTGGTATTTTATAGCCCTAATGCATTCTATTTCATTCCTAAGGTCCCAATATTTGGCATCTTGCCCACATTCGTGCTTATGCCAAATGACGGACTCGATGTCACTCAACGTCACGCACATGGACAATAACCTGCATTCCCTGAGGCTTCCGCTCGAAATAGCTTTTTTTAGGAATTAATGTCTCCATGACGATTTCAAGAACTCAGTAAGGGGAGCCACTTTGTGGCTTGACAAATCCCGAATAGGTGAAGACGTTTCCCAGGTTGCAATTTCATCAACCTCCAAGAATCTCGACAACTGGACGACCAATCAGAAGAGGCAAGGCTATGTCACCGATTTCATTGTCATCTTTTAAGCTTATTTACGATTTAGTTAAACCTTAAAATTCACTTTGGTGTAATCACCTGTAGTTTCATATTTTGATCCAAAGTACTCAGAGTAGAATAACAAGACAATCGACATCCGCGAGTTGTGCACAATAAGGTGAATTTGAAAGCCCTAATATCACTTTGAGTGGCATTGATAGAAGTCAATGAGAAGGATTGTGAATTTTCGACAATGGGAAACATGCGTGTCTGGGTGAATGTGGTGATCTCATAAGAGTTGCTACATGTCCGATGAACTTCATGTCTTATAAATCGGATTCTGGCAAAGGGTTCTTTTATCCTTTTTTGGTTACTTCTATGTTGAATGGTGGTGGGGAAGAGAAGGAGGCCTGCTGTTTGAAATCGCATTTACTACTAAAATAGTGGACGTGTGCGATCACTTTGACGTACAAAAAGTAATTCAGAGTTTCTGCAAGTAACAACATTAACCTTTAGCTGTCAGATAATGATTAACACAGTCTAAAAGCGAGCCTATTTACGATCCCTGCTCAAAGTGTGCAGTTCATCATTGGTCTACTCTATTTGTTGTCTTACAAGTAGTTTTGGCGCGAGCGGTGGTATTGACATTAAATTTTGTGACGCGCGCCATTCGACCCACGCACGCCGGTCTGGCATGTTCTTTGTCCTCCTCTTCGTTCCCACACTCTCGCCTTTCTCAAGGCATGCCCGTAAGTCCGAGGGCAACACCAACCCTCCTCGCGGCCATCTCTTTCCCCACTCTTACTCTCCCTAAGCTCTAGCCCTCTGAGTTTGTACGCGATAGCATGGAATACATCCGGTTCTTCCAGTTATTCTTCAATCGTGTGCCTGGTAGCTCACCATGATGGTGTGGCTATCAAAGAGGGACGGGCAAACAGTCATCTCCCTATTTAAGTCCTCGCTCGTCAGGCGCGTTACAATTTGTCGAAATCGAAAAGTAGCAGTTGTGGGATTTTGTTGTCTTTACGGCCAAAATATTTAAACCTTGCAACACAAAGTAAAAACGCATTTCATGCCTTAAATAAAAAAATTAAAAAAGTTAAGATGTTCAGACATTTTATCGGTCATGGAGACTGCCCAAATAAGAATTTAAATAGTTTTTCTGAGTTAAGGTTTTAGGCGAAAGGAAACATTTAATATTGCCTGAGTAATTTAAGTCGCAGTAGACTAAAGTAGTTAAAATCGCTATCATAGGGAAGCCTTTTGAATACGTTCTTTTGCTGTTCGAATAGTCTTGAAAATTTTGCTGAGTCTTTCAAGTTTATCAAACTTGCAGTAGTTTTTACTCTAAATCGTAATGATTCGAACTCTGTGTAAATAGCGCTGGTACCCAACGTGTTGCTTGTTAAAGGTCACGTGTTTTACTTCGAAAAAATGAGTCGCCATAGAATTCAGCAAGTTCTAGATAATATATGGATATCCTGAACTGCACCAATGACCACATCCAACTCTGTTGTTACAAATCCCGCAACCCACCTAAAAATTATTTGGAATTTGCGCAATTGCAATTAAGAAGTAATTTCCCTTGTATCTTTAGAATATTGCAGTCAAGCTTTGCAACAAACAAATGCAGTTCCATTAAAGGAAAATGTTGATGTGATCCAGTTTTTTGTCCACCACAATCCAGGCATTGATCGCGGTTGTAACCGTGCGAATTTGGTTGGCTTCAGAATCGAATTGGCAGCACCCTGCAGGAGTGCTTGTATGGTGCTATTGCTACTTAAAACCGCTGAGGAGAAAGTAGATAAGGACCGAAATCTTTCAACACTGATGCCTTTCAAAATAGGAATCGAAAGGCGCCTTCTCGGTGCCATTTTCGCGGATTTGGAAATGCTAGGGGGGGTGTGGAATTTTGTAAGACCAAGTAAAGGCAGTCAGAGACTGCAGAAGTCAAATCAAATGTCATTTTTAACAAAGTTAAAATAACGTGTTCCTAGTTTTACAACAATCACCCGATATTTCTGCCCGTATTTTACGGAACAAAAATACGCTAAAAATTGTGGAAGTTAGAATTTAATTCTCGTCACTGCTTTTTATATTAAGGAAGCCCTTTAACATCAACTTACACTGTCTTCATTGCGCAATATTTAAAAAAAATTCAAACTTTCTGTGATAGTTTCCAGATTCTTTCCACACTGGTCCATTGATGCAGCTACAAAGGAGATCAGCGCAATTAGATTAATGATTTTCCACTGATTTTTAATCGTTTTTTTCTATTACATTTTCGTTGACTTTGCATAAACAACTTTTGAAATGACCGCTTGTAATTTTCTAATTGCACTGGCTTCTGCCTTTTTCCCCATGACAGCACTTAGCTTGTTAACCCGAAATCTTTAAACCCAATGGATGCAATGTGATGAGGGATGTGTAGGAGGTTCCATATCAGAAATTCACGAACGGATTTGTACAACTGTTGCTAACGTCACTGGTGCGTAAGTTTGTGTACAAGTACCTGCCACAAATTTCAGCAGCTGTCATTCAGTGATGTTTGACAATGGCCAAAATGTTGCGAAGACGAGTAGTATTACGATGTGACAATTCAACTAGTTAAGACTCCTCTAATATTTTTTTCGTGTGCTCTTAGTGCCCAAAGGCATGAAGATTTACCGAAGCATTTCTGATCGTGCGCTCCAATAACTGGCCTTGTCAAAAGCGCAATGCCAGTGCTCTACCATGGCGTTTCGGAGGTTTGGTGATGAAAGTAATGGTGCCCTTGGTCGTGCAATTATTCAAAACGAAATGGCTGCTGTCATGTCTACAGTAGTGCGAAATAAACGCAGTTCATGTGTGGGGTCCTTTCAGCTGGATTAAACTGATGGATATGCCGAGACCCACCTCGTTCCAAGCTCACCTTCACCATCTCTTGCCACATTCCACGGTTTGGAAGATTAAAATACTTCTAGCGCCTGCGGTTGCCGCTGGCCCTCGGAGTTGAACGATGTTATTGGTAGCCAGAAAGTTGACTGCATCTTCGTACGGCAGGGACAGCGGTGCAAAAGCTCTTGGGGTGTTGCGTAATGTGGACGTGGCGCCGAAATAGGTATGTTGCATTCAGGTAAACAGAACCCCGAAAAGAGACACGTATCTGAGCCACTGCGTACTATCATTTAAATTGAAAAGCGAATGGGTTGATTTATATGTGATTGATCAGAGTACATGTAAATGAACAATATCTTATTTGAAATATTAATCCTAAGCATCCATGGGCAGTGTTCTCTCTAATATTGAAAAATAAAACTTTTCTCTATACTCGACTTCAAGTTTAAGTGGACCAGAGTATGAAGACGGCTACTCACAAGTTGCGATGACAAGTGGATGAAAGAACTTGACTAGTCTAGAACTGTCGAGGGTGAGTCGACAAGTATCCCACTAATTCGATTGGGTCACTTCAATGGTTCACCACTCATTCAGGATCGGAAAAATGCGCCGGTTCAGGCAAAGGCTGCAAAACGATCTTGGGGGTTCAGAACCGTGTGCATGTGACCCCAAAACCTAAACGTTGAAACAGTTAAGGTATGCAAACATATGCGATTAGCCAAAGAGTATGTCTTTGGCATTCTGTGATTGTGCAAATTTTAGTGAACCTGATGATTTAGGACCCTAAATTGCTGATTTTCTTAGTTCGTCCTTCAAGGGCACCCACGCCATAATACAAAGGAAAGGAAATATGAATCATCAAGATATATCGCGAGTAGAGAGCAGGAATACAAAAACTTCCGTAGGTGATTAGTGTCAGTGAGGAACGAGAGGGGTAGTAGGCAGAGTCAGTGCTGACCTGCCGCCGCAAAGTCGAGACTTACGACGAAGAGACGGGGACGGATGAATGTGCGATCACGGGATAATTCTAGGAAGACGACGTGGCTGAGATGGCATACCTTTACCGATTTGTGCGCGTCACAGTAGAAATATTGATATGTGACACCTTAATAGCATTCATAGGCAAAGAATGCTCCACGAATATCACGTTAACTGTTGCAGGAGGATATAGTTTGTAGGGTTGTAGAAATTAGTAAATTGCAGGTTTCCGTTGTGAATTAACGTTTGTTAATTGGCGGGTGTTGGTCGACCAAGATGACCATATTATGTCTAATTAATTTCTAAATATTTGCAGTATAACTGCTGCTGTTGTATTTACTAGTTTTACACCCGATTGTCGTCGGCTATTCAGAATGACAATCGTTGAAGTCCCTTAAATGCATGCGTTGGTTTCGCACAAATATCGCCAATCATTCCGTAAACAACAAAACCAGAGAATTATAGCTTATTATAACGCGAGTATCATCTTTTTTTACTTTAAACGCACATAATCAGGAAGTAAATTAAAAATCGGTAGGAAATTCTGATAATATTTGAAGTAACAGCAAACTAAATAAAACGGCAAAGAGACTTTAACAAAAGGTCAAAGTCCCAGAGGAAGGAACCTTTCTACAAAATAGCCGCTGACAATAAAAGGCGGCTACAGATAAATTTTTCGGCTGCTGCAAATGAAAGATCCTTTAAGGTTGGCTACTAAGAAAATATTAGAATCAACCAAAGGGACACGTAAGCTGAGTAACCACATAATATTATCAGTTGCATTTTTCTGCTTTATTCGGACGAATCCAAACATGAAATAAACATTTCAGCCTACTGAAGTGTTAATGAATTAAACATACTGTTTTAATGCGCACTGGTTAGTAACGTTTGGTGTGATGCCCTGAGATTGTGGATTAGATTGTGTTAATCGATCATCAGACTCCCGTCTGAAATGTTCGGAATCCTTTTCGCCATCCCGACGTCTTCAAGGCAAGCCCTGAATCTGAGCGTAACCTGACCCTTCCCACAATCACCCTCTTCATCCTCCAATACTAACCCTCCCCACACTTTCCCGCTATTCTTCTTTCGTAGGCCTGGTTGTCAACCGTGATCTATACACGTAGGTCCCTGCCCGCTGGGTACAAGACACTTGTTTTTCCTCTTAGACTTTGATTTTCAATTGGTTTTCAAGATGTTTGTAAATGCGGTATTATGTGTGATTTTGGGTTAATTCATTATGCAGAAAAATCACATGGATTTGCATAGATTTGGTCGAAAGCGAATGAAGGCATCTTTGTACTCAAACAATACCTAAGGAGATGACTTTGATGGGACTTAATTCTGATTAGTAATCTAATTAATTTATTCGCACGCTTAAGCATACAAAAGAAAAGCATTTGCAGTATAATTAAAAGCCAAATTACCTATGTATTACTAAATGGAAATGATAAATCCGGACTGCGTTTACAGTTTTAAAGAGGTTACATACAATCAGTGCAATCAGATTTTTGTCATGAATTATCTCCAGTGATTTTATTCCAACTCAATAATGCTTCATTTGATAATTGTGGATATAAAGTTTCAACAACACTTTTTAATTAAAAAAATTTTGATTTAATTCTATAAATTCTGCAATTTAATTTTCTGCAGAGACGAATTGATCAAGGTTTCCAATGTATCCGCAACATAATCATCGTCCACTAGCATAGGTAAGTTAAAAATGTCCTTCATGTGAATGCCACCCCAAACAGGAATCGAAACGGCCGCACGAAAAGCTGGCTTCACGGATTTTCTCATGCACACAGATACGTTGATTACTGTCGGAGCCATTGAGGCAGTAAGACCCTACAAGGGGGAAATTCAAACACCTCGTGTTATCCACAAGTGACTGCCTACCCTGTTTTTTTGAAGAACGAACAGATAAAAAACAGTTTTATCATTTTTTTCTTTGTAGCATGTTTGTCCGTAATGTCCTAAATGATTGACTTTATACTTTGAATCTGCTTATTTGAATATGCATGTGAATAGTTTACTCTTTAAAGGCCCTCAGAACACCATTATACTGGATTTTGTGTGTTCTTAGGAATTGAGAGAACCCATTTGTCAAAACTGACTAATTCGCTAATCGGTAAATATTATTTCACTTGAGATTGCTGTAGTTACATAAACAGGATTACTGTGATAGATTTGAAAATTTTAGCCTCATTTCTAATGCTAACTTCACCAAACCATCCAAACGTTTAAATTCAATTTTCCAAACCAAAGCCTTTCTAACCAAATGCCGCAAATCTTACTCCAATTTTGTTTGTCCTCGAATGTCCCTGTCGAGTCGCATTATCTTTGGCTACCCGATGACTTGCTAAATAAATGGTGTGAATATTGTCGACAGTGGTTCTGCGCAGCGTTTGAACGTCATCCACTAATTCGTCAATCAACTGATCGAAACTAACTTGAGTATTGTGACAAGGATAGTTGAAGTAACTGCAACGTAACTTACGCTGTCTGGAAACTCGATGGCGACACGAGTCACATTTAGGCAGGCGGTAAGAACAAGCGTTGGGATGCCTTCATGCACAATTTCGTTGGCCGTCATTGGACAAGCGAGACTCAGGTTACCGATTCCAGTAATCACAACCTCTCCGAAGCTTTCCAAGTCTGGAGTCGTCCAATTTGCCATTTGAGCTGGAATTGACTTTAGAATACTGTTCACTATTGAGTCAACAGTGGAACCTTAGTGGAGGCATATGCAAATGGGATAAAAGAAACATACCGTAACCATGGATGAGGAGGAGTAAATAACCAATGAATGAAAAAATTATGCACAATGTTTGAGCACGCATGACTGCTTGAAAGTGGCTGTCCTGCTAGTGGGATTCCCTCAGGAATCTTCCGAAATCTTATACTCCTTCTGACATGTTGGTGCACCAGTGAGGAATCGCAAGGTTCAATGGCTAACCACCTTAATTGGTTTAAATCAGTCCCTTGTGGCATGCCGAAGTGTAAATTTGATACTTCTCTGCCATGTGAACAAGTTGGTTTATTCTGACTCTGCAAATTTTGTGCATATGTGATTTGGCTCGGTGGGAACTCGAATGTGTGGTCATAAATAGTTTGAAAGCGTTTATTTGCCTTAATTCATAATGTTTGGCACATCATCGGCAATAAGGTTAATTTACGAAAACCTCCAATTCGAATGCATTTTCTTACAGATTCAAATAGAAGACTAGCGGATTTGACACTTTGACTGAACTGTTTTATGTTTGTTCTATTTTCTGGGGACACTTTTTTTAATTTGCATACTTTTTCGGCAACATTTAACTGACATTTAAGTGAATTATTTGTTTGGTGAATATAGTATTATGAAATATGCTTTTTTGATTGTTTGTATAATTGTGCAGAAATATAAAAAAAGTGTCAGATTATTGTACTTAAATGAGTAGGATAGTAATTAAGCCCTGAAAAATATATTTTTTTCAAAGTTTAAGAGAGTCAGTAATTAATTTTCAAATAATAATATTCACTTTCAACTGCATTAATAGGTATTGATTTTAGATTTATGAGCATTGCGTTCTAAGCATGTAATGAATATCATGCATCCGCAATATTTGAGCATTTTCCTGAATTTTTGTGCTTATGTTTCATTCTGTGTAGGGCAAAATGAAAAGAAAGCTCGATGTAACAAAGTTGTGTTCAAAGATTGACTTTTGCCAATAAAAGCATTATAATTCAGGATGGCACGGGCTGAAAGACTTCCAACTCTTCGCGAGGGTACTCTCCCATTGCCACTTCTGGTGGATTTCACCTAGACTATCCCACGTCTGCAAAGCATCAGTCTATTCTGACCGAGATGTATGAGATCGTCTGGAATGGCACAAACGCCAAGCAAACCGACATTCCACATACGATCAATGCTCTTCTCTAGGCAAGACACCCGAAGTCTCATTAAGACGTGGAAGTGAGTTCCGTGCGCCGTGCAGTCTGTCCGTCTGCCCATGATAATTTACACGCAAAATGACACGTGAGTATTGTTTGTGCATCAGGCAGAGACGAAATTGCCACAATGACAGTTTGTAGTGGACAAACAGCCACCTCGCGTGAGTGATGCGTGCATGAGGGCCCGAGTGGACCAGTGACTCACCCCTTTTTGTTATTGGCCTTTGTCAGCATTCGTTTGATTTGCTCGGGTACTCATACGCACACAGTCACTTGGCTGGTTTGATGCTAGTAAACGGCCGTGTTCTCTGTCGCCTCCTTTTCCCCTATCCTCGGGTTGTAACGACCGTTAATTAGAGGGTTGAAAGGTAGTGCTTAATCCCCTACCCACTACAAGTTCTGTCAAAAGCTTACTTTGAAGTAATAAGTGTTTCCGCAAACAAACACAAGGTATTGAAATTCGGATCAAAGTTACACTGATGGTATTCTCATTAAACAATTAATTATCGTCTAAATAGACGTGTTAAAATGCCACTCTGCAACTTATATAATCATTGTAACTGTTTGGTTTAAATGAGTGCGACTGTACACTAACGATGACAATACAGCTACTGACACCCAAAGGTCTAAGTGTCGTTGGAAGTATTGGCATTGAGCAGGTTGAAGACGAACACACAAAGCTGCGTTAGTGAGACATTCTGATGTGACCAATTGCACTTGTGATCTGACAACCTAGGAATCAGAGAATCTGCACTCGCAGATTACTTCCTAGCAAAGCTGCGCAGAAATTAATACTAGTTCATTTTTAATGGTTTTGAGTCCTGGGCAGGACATTTCGACTTATATTAAATCGGATTTGGTGGAGTTATTTTGCTTGGCAAACGTGGTTAGTTAATAAAATGCATTCTTTGAGTCTAATGGCCACTAGTAGTATTCGTTTTCTTGTGTCCGTTCGAAATAGTAACAGAAAAATTGGTAATTTCAGAGGACCATGGTGGTGATTTCAACCGATTCACTTGACAAATGGCAATCAAATACATAATTCAAGCACACACGGGAAGGTAATTTGAGAGCATTTAATGCTACTAGAGTGAACCACTAGTTGCTGCAATGTGGGCTGATTATACTCATGGCTAGGTGCGATAGAGGTCGTTGGCAAGATAGACTAGAGCAGGCACTTGGTGCTAGTGTTTGCAGAAACCATTGGCTAATGGAATAGGCTTGATGCTGTGATTTCCTTAGTTTGACATTTAAAGAAAATATTATGAAGGAACTTTACTAATAAAATGTCACTAACCTCGCCTTAGTTTCGATGAGCTTAGTTGCCATTCAGTCTTGGTTGCCTTGCTAACAAAGTCGAAAATATCTTTTCATCATTCATCACCTCAAATAGAATCGACCAGGCACCGGCTAATTGAAAATTCTCCAGATTTCGACGTTTCTGATCAACGTCTGCCATTGCACAGAAGCAGTGCTGTGTTGTGGTAGTGACGTACGCGCACAGTTGCCAGAAGCGAGTCAGGGCATATGCGTGGCATCAAAGTGCCACACAGTTCAGTGACAGTAGTGACCTTTAGGAAGCAATCTGGTGACACGATGTGATAGTGCTCCAAATCAGGCGATTCAAGGTCGTCATAAGTGTTCAAGCATTTCCTGAATTCAAACCAAAACTCCTTGTGCAAAACACTCGTACACGTTTGCTAATGAAGTGTGCAAGTAACTTCGAATGACGCAATTTAATGACTAGTAGACAATTTTTAAGGCCTCTAGTTTTTTTATCTAATTAGTATCAAAATGCTACAAAAAATGTCAAGACATTGAGGGAAGCCTCGTTAATTCACGACTATTTTCAAGGTTTGCACAATCCGCCAGCCACACCGGAATAAAAACGAGTTTACCTCCACAGTTTCTTCCATCCTGTTCTAAAAATGACATGCTTTAAACAGACTGAGCTCGTTATTTTCGCTAACTTACCAGGAAACACCACCGCGATGGTGGAATTAACGGCCATGTGAACATGTGCTTCGCATCTCAAGCAAAATGTGTGTATTCATGACGTGCCAAGCATTTTACTTAAAAGTTGAAGATCCACGAGTTCACGAAGGATGCTTTGAATTCCTTCATCATGTCTTTACGGATGCCCGTTGTAATGATTTAAGATATAAATGACTGGATGAGATCTAGTTGTTGAGGTACTTATTCTAGACATTTAGGAAAATTGTGTTAAGCATCTTAGTTTTCAATGATAGGCTTGAGACTGTGGAGCTCCTGTTCACTTCTCGAGCATGCCTTGGTTTTGCATAGAATGCTACCCTAATAACCGATTCCATATCTGTTTTAATCAATTTTCTTGATTTGTGTTTTTACAAAAAAATGCTTGATTTTTTCATTAATTTTAAGGACGACAGTCTTTTGAAACAGTGTACTGAGATTTTGCAGCACGAACGCAGGCAAATATTAATCTGCCACAAAACTGCCTCCATTTTGTTCAACATTCTTCCTGACAACTATATGGTAACTTTGCCTAAAACCAAAGAATTTCAATCCCTGCAAAGAGAATCAGGAAAATACAAAACAGACCTCAACTTGCAATCAAAAACTATTTTTGATTGCGCCGGCATGTCAAGAATGGTAGCACACACCATTACAACGCATAGTGACGCATGCAGTCATTTTCAGGAATACTAGTGAATAGAAAACTGTGCTATATGGAAATAGATTTATTGTGAGAATCGATGAATCAATAAAATAGTATACATTCAGTACTTTTGCCAGTCAATTTTTTGCAGAGCCGAGTCGATCGCAGATTGGAAGATACCTTGAACGATATTCCTATTACTCACGATCGGTTTAATGATAATGACAAGGACAATATTTCCCTTGACATCGATCCCCTTCCAAACACCAATCGTTAAGGTGACCTTTGGCGCCGGTTTCACGGACTTCGTGAAGTGTGCGTGAAGGTCGAATCTGGCCTCAGCGATGGAAACTTTGACTGACTACAAGCATTCAAATTAAAAACACGCTTAAATTTCCTGTAATAGGAGCAAGTTAGTCAATGACGCCTATTGCAAACAGACAACTTTAATTAAGCTCCTGAAATCACCAAGCGGATACTGGTTTCATCAGGAATTCAAACTTTACTCAACGCTTGGACAACTGAAGTGTAATAATTGAAAAAGAAAAATAGGTTCATAGTTGACAACTTTCGTCATGTTTGTCATTTGTCGCTTGAAAATGTAATAAATGGAAACCTAAAATATGCTTATTTATCATTAAATGATTATTGGCCAATGTGGCAATCACTATCTACCACAGCGACTTTAAAGAATAGAAAAGTAGGTAACTTGGAAAAAACGGCTCCTTTCCACAGATTAGAAAAACATGTTGGATGCAACTCAACTTACTCTGTCTGTTAGGGTAACAACAACGTCAGTGAGATTGACACAGGTGCTGAAAGCGAACGACAGAAGTTTGCTATCCATCGTTTCATTCACCGTCATCGGACAAGCACGACTCACATTTCCCAGTTTTGTAATCTGGACTGTGCCAACCATGTCCACATTAGGAATTGTCAAATTCGCCAAATCGACAGGAAGGGACTCAAGAATGCTGTCCACTATCGAGTCAACCGTGGAACCTTAGAAGTTGTAACGGCACGTAGAGAAGGGAAAAAACGAGACATACCATAAGCCTGGGAAAGGATTGGTAGAATGCCGACCAGAATGAGAACTGCCCATTCACCACAAAAATGCATGTTTAGTGGCTTTTGCTTTACCAGACTGCGTGTGCTATGAACAGACTACCTCAAATCGAACACTTTATGGCATTAAAGTGGTCTGATCAATAACTAATGTCACTTTCTGCATTTTTATTGGTTTGCAAGAGTCCTTCACTGAGTGGTGTAACGCCAGCTCGACGTAGGGTGTGGCAATCGAATCAGACGATTGATATCGTTACTAATCTGATATTTGATGTCGCAGGTGTGTGTGTGTGCACGCCTTTACGAAGGTGAGTGCACGTTTTATGCAGACGATCACAATTCTTCTCAAAATTATATGTGGGAACTACCAACCTGGGGTTCCACTTACTAAAATCGGAAAATTGATTCCTGGGGTGCAGTAATTTGAGGCAAACATTTCTGTAACAAATAAATCGACTGGAGTCAACCCTAACGTGTATTCTGCTGCCCCGGTGGTGAACTGCAGATGCCCGTGAATTAGCCACCTCTGTTTTGAGCAGTTATGGGCTCACTTGGGGATTGTGGTGATTATAATTATAAAACGGCAATAAAATTTAGTCGTGGATGAGTAATTCATGTTGACGAGAACAAGATGAGATAAATCGCGATTTCTTTGCAAACACTGAACCGAATCCAGTCGCTTCCAAATTGCTTGCTGGACACAATCCAATCACAAATTGTAACACTTTGAGCATTTTAATACCCTGAAATGCGCTTTAATTATTTCACGTTTTTGTGTGGCCACTTGCTTACTGCGAAATATTCAACTATACAAGAATATTGACGAATGTGGTGAATTTGCAGGTCATGGAACTGATCGCTGTTTTAAATTAAATTCTTCACAATCATGCTCAACGAATAAGCAGGGTCTGATAGGTTGACTGTGACATCAAAATCTTGAACTGCTGATCTTCATGTTTGCACTGAACCTCCAGCAACTGTTTCAAGAAAAATTGCTTGCAAATGCGAAGTTGTCAATAAATGTGCTGTGGGGTATCTGACCTACGTTATGCACCCATACCTAGGCAGCTCGTTCTAATTCGACGTGATTTGCTCACAACTTAAGAAAGGGATTGCTGTGTGGGATGTGGTTTCTGCGTTTTCGAGCGTATCAAAAACTCGAGTTCAGAGAATTAAAGCTTTTACCCCTGGTTAAAGGCAAGTGCAGGATTGCCGGTTCAGGACAACAATAGGACTCCATGATGTGGCCTTTCATTATCTCAGTCAAAGGGTCAGTTGACGTGTTAAAATGCGCAGATTAACTATGTCAGGAGTGATGTAGTTAACACGAAAGATAAAGATTGTGCAACATTGACAAAGCTGGCCAGGAAAGTTAATTTATTAAATTGGTGTAATTATAGGGAGTTGTGTAAACTATTGTCATGCGGGCTTCCAAACAATGTTTAAAGGATTTCGTTGTGGTTATCAGCTTTGGACTTAAGAGGAAAGTCACTGCATGGTTACCAAATATGTACTCAGCAATACTTTTAAGATTACTGTGTTAACATCAGTCAGATAGAATGCAGACGTGTAGAACACTTATCATTCACTTTACTTCGACTCAGGATTTTCGGATAGAACCAAGCCAGTACTTCTAATGACTACTTGCTCCACGCACTTAAGTAGAAGTAACGGTGCTCGACCAGCGATGACGATTACGGCAACCTGAGTGCTTAAATATTAACGTGTTTTAAAAGTGCATTTCATGGACCTGAAATTAAGTATATTGTTTTCTTGAAATCAGTCACATAACAAGATGACTGCTCATTGCCCATTGGAGCCTTAGCAGTTGGCGCAAATGGCCACTTGCATCGTGTCCACATTGTTCCACGGACAGCGAATGGCTTAATGTTTTACTATGCATGGAGACACGAGACTGGGCCCTAAATTAGACCGTTCGAATTCGCCGGAGTCTCGTCAACTCACCTTCGGCAGCTTTTAAATCACCACTCAATGCCAATTTGAAAATTGCGTAGGTGCTCGCAGGCACTGTGTCCACGAATTGATGAGGCAGTGACGGAGTGGATGAGTGCTCAATTATGTTTTGTGTAAACGTGACGTAAAGCGCCAAAACGCTCATGCATTTATTTAGCAATACTATCGCTGTCCTGGTAAGGGATCCGAGGGATATCGTTTAATTAACTTAACGTGTCAAAAAAGTGCATTATAGTGGGATCAGTCTTCCACGCACTTGCGAATTTCGTTGATATTGCCACTTTATTTGAGTTGTGTAAAGGCTAACTTACAACGATTCATATTTACTCAAAGGTTATCAACTCGTGAAAGGCCGAGTCACTGACCATTGGCTTGTCGAATATCGTCGCATGTGTCCACAAATACCGTGTCGTTGATTTGGTCACGTTTTTCGTGGAAAACTAGACAGCGCGAATGAATGGTGAACGTTTTGATTGTCTGGAAAATGATAGATTGGCTAGTTCAAAATTCGTCGGATAGCCAAATCACTCACGAAGACCTTAAAACCGTTGAAATATCTGGGACATTTTGACTTTCCTCACAGTAGCCAAATTACAAATGAGTGATTAATCAATATTTATTGAATTGATCGTGATTAGGGAATATAAATTAAATTCCGCTAGAGGCGGCCACATTTGTAGATGCTGTGTACCAGTCTTAATTAGTCCCAAAAGCGTGTGAATTGAAGCGACTGAAGAGCCGAATTGACCGTGCTTTCAAGCATCGACTCCACAAGCGAAGGGCTGAGAGTCCCTATCGACGCAAGGAAGTTTGCAGCCAAAGGTCCACTGACATCAACGTCCTCCCAAACAGGAATCGATATGGCAAACCTAGGTGGCACTTTTGCTGATTTGTGTATCAGCAGGTAGATGTTGAATCTTGCCCGACCAATTGACACAGTGAGATCCTACAAGAATCACAACAAATATCGAGGTTCTCGTTAGTACAATGGGATAACAGGATTGCACTTGCATCCTACTGACTGATCCTCATTCAGATAACGATGCACTGCAAATCAGTGGTGCTCGACCAAAGTACTACCTGTTGACTGTTTTATTAAATAAAAGTCAGAACCTCTATATTGTGGCGATTTTCGAAAGTCGAAGTGAACAATGCCCATGTATGTTTACGACTAATGTATCAAATAAGATCTTGTTCATTTGCATCTACTCTGATGATCTGGTTAGCAATGCACACGTCAGCTGGAGATGTATCAGGATTTAATTTACTTTGAACATCACATGTTTTGTAAGGTAAAGGATAAGAGGTCGGATGTGTGCTTGTTTTCTAAACAAATGTCTTGTCGCACAACAAATAACGCTTTAATTAGTTTGCACAAAAGACCTTCCAAACTCTACCAATTTCGGTCTCAGTGTTCTGCTCTGGATGATTTGGGTTGTGTCGCGTCAAATGCAGATGTGGTGACGATTCCCACATCGGTGCTTCTACAATCTCACAGAGCACTCAACTGCAAGTACTTGAATGTAGGTGCCTTTGTGGTGATGTCTTATGACAATAGTCTCTCGATAGCAAACAAGGTACCCTCTCATTTCATTCCTTCATTGTTAATATCCCCACGTCATCCGAGCATGAACGAGTTGACGGCGATGGTACTTGTTATTTTGAATCGTAACATCTGTCAGTTGCCTAAATTTCAATCAGGACTGATTTGCACATTAGTCAAACAAGTGTGCATTGATTAGGCATAAAATGTTTAATGCAATTGTCCCTTTCATATTTTACTCCTGTTCATGATAGACTCATGTCGTAAAATCTATGTGCGACTTAATGGGATTGTGTTAGTTAGTTTCGTGTTTAATCTGTGTCAAGTGCCTAGATGCTGAAATCGCCTGAATCGCACATCGCTCGGACATGTGAGTGTCGATTGGGGAAAAAGGTATAACTCAACACAACTCACCTCCTCTGGAACCTTTATAACGACGTCTGTAACATTGAAGCACACATTGAAATGATACGACGGAATTCCGTTGCTCACAGTTTTCATTGTGGACATGGGGCAGGCGCGACTCACACTTCCGATTTTTCTAAGTTGCACTGTACCGACACTTTCTATATTTGGCAGCGTAATATTTATGGAATTGAACGGAATCACGGCCAGAATTCTGTCCAACAGAACGCTGGAAGAGCAACCTTAAGAGGATTGAATGGTAATTAGGAAAGTAAGAAAATGGCGTACTGGAGGCATGGATGATGAGAGGAAGAAGACCTATCAGCAAGAAAACAGTACACTTTGAGGAAAGGTGCATGTTTTTCTGTAAATTTCGTGTCCTCGTCGACGTTGCCTATAAAGAAGGCTATAGTCAAACCTCCTTTTATAGTTTTGACAAGTAATTTGTCAATTTGTCGCCTAGTAACTATGAGGTGTTCGCAGTGATAAGATCGAAACACTGTTGCACTATTGAAATGGCAACATGGCAAAGTTGATACATTGAAACACGTATTCAAAATATCATCTTTATGTGACTATGAACACACATTTTTGATTTTTATCTGCATCGTCGCCACTTTTAAATGCAGAATTCCTCCAATTTGATCGAAAACAACCCAAGAATGCCGTAAAACTGAGAATTGTTTGCACAACCTTAGACACAACGGTTGAAAAGTAAGATAAGAATATGAGGTATATTTGAAGAGCAAGTAGCACTAAAATAGAAGAGAAGATGATTTTTCAGGATAAAGACACATGTCCGGGTGGTAGAGTTCTGCTTCTGTAGATCTGGGTCTAACGGAAGACTGGTCTAACTCTCAATGTTTTGGCATGTTAATGTGACGTCATTTCGTGAACTGTCTTCAATGGCTTAGTCAATTTCTCGAAACATGCATGTGAAGCGAGTTGGGCTTTTTAGTGAAATGTGATTTTAACCATCACGCATGAAAGTGCTTTACAAGCGATTATTTGCCTGATGGAGTCATTTTAAAGCAGACCTATAGTACCGTTTTTACGTAGTACGACGCTTCATGACTGATTTAAGTCAATTTACTGTAATAGGTGAGACAATCAAACATGACATGACTTTCACATTTGAGATTCTTCCGAATACGCACCTGGTTGGCCAAGATTAAAAATATTTAGTTGCCTGAGTTCCATATATCCGCTTTTGCTAGTATCATTAAATTCCACCTAAAGACATGATTTAGCACAAGTCAAATTAAAGGCTTGAAAGCATTTGATGTTGCCTATCTGCAGTATGAAGTGAGATATTAAGACTACAATTTCAATAGCAATTAAAGTCTAGTTATATCATTTATTCCAAGAGAGGGAATGCACTTTCTGACGGACTTGGTAAGTTTTACTGGAACTCTTGGAGTTCACGAATGTCCAAAGTGTTCTTGAGTTGGATATAATTGCAGTAGCTGATTGCCTTAATACATCCACATTGAGTGAATTTCGACTAATCTCGTGTTTACGTAGTACCGGCATTCACTGCAGGAGCTCAGCAAAGCCCTTCCCAGTGTGTCTTTGATAGCCGCAAAGAGGGATCTTCAACCAATCAGGGATGAGGGCGGAATAAAAGCACCTATTACGGGGACGCCGCAGTCAGTAAGGCGTACTCGGTTGGCAGAGGACTCCTGAACGACCCTGACCTTAGGGATATCATTAATACTCGCCTTTTCTTTATCACTGTGTCGGGCATATTTTGCAAAGTAAACCACACAAATGCCACACATTTGCTACAATTAACAAAGCCACATAAAAATACTGCACCGTGGGTGCAATCACGGTACTCCCAAAGCCAATAGAAGAGAATCTAAAAGTATGCCACTCACTTGTCTCAGTAGCATCAACTACAATTCTATTGTATGTTTCAAAACTTGTCTTGATCTATATACAGGTTATGTAATGCAATCGTGTTAGCCTAGAATTTATGTGTGTATTTGTTTTGAACTAGTTGATACGGCGCCAAAGGTTAGGTTCATTGCTAGCACCAGAACTTTGGCAATCATGTTTACTGATTTGTGTAGCAAAACAGAGGCTTCATGTTGACCTTACTTCAAACGACGACAGAAATCGAAAGTTCAAAACACCAGACAGGTGTAACTGCAATGTCACTATCTGTAAGACAGTGTTGCTTGAAATTATCAAAATTGCAGTGGTTTAATTAGGAGAACTGAACAATTCCAAACACCTGTTGAGCTGAAGAAAATGATTAAACACAATTTCTAGCTACACACTTGATCATCTGACCACGTTTCCAAATTCATGTGACACATTAACCACATTTGGGCTTACCCAGAGGGCCTTATTTACGACAACGACACGCCAACTGAAAGCAGTCCTATTAATCGACGCAATGTACAACACGAGAATGTGTAGGGAGTGAGTCACTTTATCACACGCTAGCAGCTTCACGTCAATCTACTTTAATATCAATATTTCCAAAGTTCATTTTAAAAATTAAAGGAAGGAGGAGCAGGGGGAGTATAGGATGTGAATTGGGTGTGTTCATTCTCGTCACAATTCGAACCCGGATCAATCTAGAAGACTTTCCCAATTGATTTTCCCAATGGCCGAGTCCACCACACTCTGCAGGATGTACTCAACGATGTCACTACTCTTCAGCACCAACTCTGGCATGAGCAATGAGAAGAAGGGCCCTTTGACTTTCACGCCCCTCCATACCGGAAGTTGAATAACCAGGCGTGGTGCCGTGTTGTTGGCAAGCGCGACGTGCAAGGCGAAGACAAATGTCGCGCTGTCGATTGTTGCATTCACTGACTAAAAACAGCAATACAATGCCAAAATCAGATGTCAGCCAGGGTGGGCTATGCAATCGTTATGTTTACATGGAGTGTTTAAGACAGCATGCTGTACTCCAGTTTCACAGCTCAAGTGAAGACTTGTGAAAAATAGCGGTTTAGAACATTCATGCACACACAGGCAACCAACTGGGACCACAATTTTTTTTATGATACAACTTGCTTGCAAATTTTTCATAAACTGAAACTCTAATTTCACCTCTACCTACCATCATACGAGATCCGAGTACAAGTCAGTCACACAAATATTATGTGCAAATAGTTGCATTATTATCCATGGCTACCAATTTGCCGTCAGAAGTAGCCAATACACAAGTTATACCAAAATCACGCTGCACCTGCCAAGTCGTTAGACCAGTCATCTA